AATTTCCTCCTCTGTTACTACGGCAAAACGAGCAGCCATTTTGAAAAAAAAGCTATAGTCACTGACCAGTGACTATCACTTCAGAGACAGTGAATCTTAACCAATCAGAATGCAGAAAAATCAATAGTCACCTGGAAATTTATACTAAAACTCTATAGAAACACGGAAAATGTTTTCTATTTCTTAAATATATCATATTCGAACCAGTTACCTAGGCTGGATGATTGTTGTCAGCAACTATACAGTCCCCCACTCTGCCATCTGAGCTATCGAAGGGGAACGAACCGAAAATATCCACCATTCACAAGAAATAAACTTATGAGCAGTGACATATGCAGTTACTGCAATTTCACAGTCTCCCAAATGTAATCCACTCCCAATAAGGCAACATATGTAGCGGGATATGATGTGGTAATGAAAATGTGTGTGGTATAGTATTATCATTCAGCACACTTAAAATTCTACAGTACTCTATTACATGTATTAGGGTACTTGAAATCGACGCATTCGTCTTCTCAGTGTCACTGAGGAGCAAGAAGGGTGGTCGCTTTGGAGTATCTTTGCTTGAAAAAAACTAAACTAGAATTTCGTCCTAAAATGCCATTTCGCGCCTTGTTCCACAAGCAAATTATATCAGTCATGGTTTAGTTTCTGGTGATGTCTAAATTTCAGACCCCAAATTCTGGCCTACCAAGTAAACTGACCATCTACTGCAGGCAGTTCTTTGGGATCTCACTGGGAGGGACAAAATTGCCGATTGGAGGGGTCAGTAAGAGGGCTGTGGGACAGCCCCCCCCCCCCAGTTTATATGTTAAAAGAGGCCCTGTTCGATCAATATCACCTGAATGACATGATTATAATAAACCAATTAAATCACCACAATTTATATAAATGTTAATAACTCACGTCTCTATAAGTGTTCAGAAATTAAGCACATTCACAAACCTTGCCAATGGCTTTGCAGCGTGTATAATGTCTTTTGTGTCCGTAATCAACTTACAATGGTGTTACTGCTGCATATGAATTGCATTTATCATCATCAACAAAATGAGATTGTTCAAAGATTATGTAAGGACATTTTTCCCTACAAGAATCTAACTTGAAAGTCTCTGTACTCTGAGTAATATACATTCCTGCATGGAGTTGTCCCAAAAGAAAACTGAAGCGGAACAGAACTTTCTTTAATTTGTTTAAGCTGTTGATATTCAGTTTAGGATATATTTTGTACCTATTATTACGAGTGAGATTCACACTCCCAAAACTCATTTGAACTTTCGTATTTTCCTGTTTGTTTTACAACTTGAAAATCCTCTTTTCTCACAATGAAAGTGTACTGAATAATATCAGTTCCAGGTTCCTTTCTTTCTTTGGGGAAAAATTCTTAAATTCTATGGACAGGTGCGGTAAAGTCGGTAAAGTGTCATTTGCAGCATTTTAATTGAGGCTAGTTAATGTGTTTTGGTGAGCTTAAATATCCGCTTAACATATAACAATTGTACTTAATCACAAACGAATCCCGAGAACATTTAAGGTGGCTCGATAAATGCATGTACACTTTTCAAGAATTCAGGTGTTCAACACTTTGACATGTGCAAGCTACGCATTTTTAGGGTTTATTCAGCAGATATTGGGATTTTTATATATGTGATTTTGATTCAGCAGATATTGGGATTTTCTGACATATCTACTTTCAAGTTGTATTAGTTTTAGTAACAGATAGTCCGTTGCTATGATGACATACGTGAACGAAATTCGCTGCAAAATGGCCTATCAATCACCTCGTGTAGTTGGAAAAGAAGCATGGCTAGCCTCTCCTTTTTTGTACATTATTTTACTTGGAAGAAAAACTAACAATTAGCAAAATATAAAAAAATTATGTTATGCCATTTTTTTGGAAAATGCGAAAATATCGTACTCTCCGGTAAAATGTTTTTGGCATTACAGAACTTTTTTATTTTTTTGCAAAATGAAAGTTTTTAACAGTGCAATACAGCATGCAAAATTTGAATATATGTAGATGACCAGATAAAATAGAGAGATATATCGCATTGTTTTTCCAAAGTGGAAAATTCTAGTGACATCAGCAATTGACGTATAACGCTAAAGACCACGCGCAATGATCGTGAGATGGCGCGAGCAACTGCTCACGTCAGGTCAGGAAACTTGGGAAGGGCAACATGATTTTACATTGAATTTAATTTATCAGCGAGTTATGTCTAAGATCGTAGACCACTTTAAACCGTGAGCTAGGCCATAATTAATTCAGGAATTTTAAAATTTGATCGAATATTTGAAAGTACTGAAGTAACATACAAAAGTTCAGTAAATTTACATAATATTAAGAATATACCCAAAATTCGTCTACAGATTTTTTGTTCGCCATATAACACATAATTGTGTAAATAAATTATTAGATTAAACATCATTTTTATATTCTACAGTTTTCCTGGAACTTGCATCGTATTGCAGTTTATTTAGCATCTATCTACCATTCTAGTCGATGTCCATTCGCTGTCCAAACTAAGCCAGCATCCGTTTATCCGGTATCCGTTTATCTGCATCCGTCTATCCGGAATCCGTCTGTCTTGTATCCGTCTGTCGGTACGTCAAACCGCACACTTCCACTCAAGAAAATTTTCCGCGGAAAGAAAAATTTGTAAAATGTGATCGGCCATTAACATAAATTTCCGTCGGTTGAAAATTTTCAGACGGAAAGCCTGTTTTAGGCTTTATCCTTTGTCCTTGTTTGACAAAATCGATTTACACATATACAGCTATTTCAATTAAGGTCGTCCACGAGCAAAGTGGAAAAGTCGAATACGAGCGCGAAGGGCTGCTGGGAACCGCTTTGAAAATTCATTAATTTGTTAGCGATTCCCAGCAGCCTTTCGCGCTCGTATTCGACTTTTCCGCTTTACTCATGGACAACCTTAATTGAAATAGCTGTATATATTGTTACGTTTTCTACCACTAAGTAATGATAAATTATTGTGAATAATTTTTTATTTTTTTGCGTTTTTTCCTTCTTTTATTTCAGATACAAGTATAGTTAGCATAAATTTTACAGCAAATTTGGATGCTCACAATGCAGGAAATGGCATTTCCGGGCTTGAAATTTCAAAAATTTTCTGCGGGAGTATACCCCATACTCCTTAAAAAGGCCCTGCCTACCCTGATCTTGGTAATTCATGCATCTAAATATATACTGGCTATGGTTATCCAATAATTTTCAAGCAAAGTTCCTATTTGGTTAATAATTAATTTCCTATGAATGTAAACTAATGCAAACAACCAATCATAATCGAGGAATATAAATACACTATGAATAAATCATCTCATGTGACGTTTTATTGTTTCATGGCTTTATGATGGCGTCGCGTGTCCTTGTTCCCGGCGTTCAACACTGACAAACCATCGTGCCTTGCGAAATATTTTGACGGTAAGAAGCAAAATTTTGATGGCAATGACTCAAGGGAAGGTTTTACTCTAGTTTTACGATTTGTGTGTGTCTTTATACCGATATATTGTCCCATTTTGTTGCGATTTTTTGCTGTTTTTCTTTCTGTGTTTACAATATATCGTGCATGAAATGCTTGGTTATTCAAGAGCGATTTATTTCACATTTCCACGTTAATCTGTAAACAAAATACTTGCTAGAAATGGGCCTGAAAGTAAGGTCCGATGTGTAATTTTATGGCGGGAGAAATACGAATTCAACGAATATCTTTAGCTTGACTTTGGGCTTCTAGATTTAGTAAACAGAGTTGGTTTCGCTTTGTGCGAAGTATTCGTGTTTCGATGTTGTATAAATTCCTAATTCAAAGCGTCTGAGGTTATTTATATTATTAAATTGCTGTTGTTCACAATTTGCTCAAAGAAGGCAAGTTTCTATATGTTGAGAAGTTTAGAAGTGCCAGTGATTTATTGTAGACACATTTAATACATATCCTAGTTGATGATAAAATTGATGTCGACAAATTCCTATTTCAAAGCGTTTTGTTGTTTTTTCTGTTGTTCACAATTTGCTCAAAGAAGGCAAATTTCTATATGGTGAAGGGTTTAGAAATGCCAGTGATTTATTGTAGACACATTTAATACCTATCCTAGTTGATGATTAAATTGATGTCTGCGTGCAATATGTCAAATCGGAAACAAAATAGGCTATAACTGTCCTTAGGCTAACCAAAATCTTGATATTTACCCGATATGGCAGTACCTGAGGTCCACATGAACTTGTGGTCAGAGCTTGACAACTGGCCTCTGTAGCTCAGTTGGTTAGAGTGCTGCACCGGAACCGTAGCGCCACAGGTTCGATTCCTGCCAGGGACCTATACCTCTAATAAATTAAATGTATATAAATTTCCATCTACAAAGACCCATCAACTATTATTGAATCGAGTGAGATGCCACCAAAATCTTGATATTTACACATAACCTATAATGGCAGTACCAGGGCTAGTATATATACATGAACTTGTGGTTAGAGCTCGACAACTGGCCTCTGTAGCTTAGTTGGTTAGACCGCTGCACAGAAACTGCAGGGTTGCAGTTTCGATTCCTGCCAGGAACCTATAGTTGCACTTTTGCAGTTGTTTCTGGTTAGGTGTAATAAATATGTACCGGCATCTAGAATTTTGATGTATTAATGTAACCCACTGAGTGGCAGCACTCTCCGGCTGATGAGTAAAATCATCTGGCGTTAGAATGTATTGTGATTGACCGATGATCGGTATTCATGGACTGATTTTTGCGTTGTCGGTAAACAATCGGAATCGGTAGATTATCTATATTTCCAATTGTCTTAAACCAATTGTTGAGAAAATATGCACTTTTAAAATTATATGCATTGCACGTTGATACACATTGCATTTTGACACAATATGTAAGCGTGCCATTTATTAATGGTTTTAACAATCTTTGGTTGCAGTACTGTCCTGAACATGTTACGTTGGAAATTATTGTTAAAAAATCGACATGAATGACATATTTACTCGGTTAACTGATATTATGGCATCATAAATTATAAAATCGGCTTCGTGTAGACACTCGATCGTTGATAGGTAATTTCCGATTGTAGCACAATCGGGCAATCATTATTAGACAAAGTAAAATAATAAAGTAGGGTGCTTCTGGGTGCATTGCCTCTTAAAGCCTTAAAATGATTAACAGGGTGCATATGCAGATAGTCTGATTAACCCTTTGAGTGGAAGCACTCTCCCCTTGACAAGTAAATTAAAATTGTCTGGCATTAGAAAAGGGAAAATAATAAAGTAGGGCACATCTGGGTGCATTGCCACTACAATGGTAACTCAAATTCATGTTATGTACATCTCTCTTTATACATATATCTGACCCCAATTTCACAGCACTATAACTCAAACATTCCAACCGTTCCGGTTTACCCGGGACTGTCCCGGTTTGGACTCTGTTGTCCCAGTGTCCCGGTTTTCTTCTTATTGTCCCGGTTTCTGTAGTTTTTTAACAGTTGTATTCTTTAAATAAGGCTCATGTGACAAATATTAATGAAATTCGTTTGGTTCAATACATATTAATGAAATGGGAGCTTCTTGTTGCCCCAAACAATTGCTGAGTTTGTCGCCGATTGTTGTAATTCTTGTGACATACATTGTTTTGACAGTGTTCGCTTGCAATTCCTATTCATTTTGCAAGGGCTACATGAAGTAAAGCAGCGTAACAGAAGCGGGGGCAATAATCGTGGGCTCTTGAATACAAGAGGGTCACAGGTCAAAAGACCAGTAGTAAAATGAAACAATTTCGCCAGTTCAGTACTTCAATGAAATTAAAGCTTGTTGAGAAGATGTTATATTACTGTACTTATGGGTTTCAATGTTAGTGTAATAAAACTAGTATTTGTAGCATCCACTGTGAATTTATTGTTTAATAATGATCGATCAAACTCAACTCAGCCAATTTTAGTACTAACCCAAATAGACACCACATCAATGAGAAAAGCGCGGCATTTAGTTGAGGGAGGTGTTTATTTGAGGGAGGCGTTTATTTAAGTAAAATGGGAAAATTGGAAAGTGTCCCGGTTTTGAGGACTCGGAGGTTGGAATGTCTGTTAACTAATCATCATTGAAGGGTTTTGTAATCCATGGAAATTTACACATGTACAATTTTACACATTTATTAGACCCAACTAGGAGCAGTTGTGAAAAGTGCAACTAAAGGCCCTCTGACAGGAATCGAACCTGTGGCCCTGCAATCTCGTTCCCCGAGCATGCCCGCATGCTCACCCTTAACCTGCGAACGGGCATGCTCGGGGAACGAGATTGGTGGCCCTGCGATTCCGATGCAATCCTCCATCAACCAACTGAGCTACAGAATCCAGTTGTCGAGCTCTAACCGCATGTTCGTGTATAATATTCTAAGGTAATTATGCCAATGTGAGGTCTTAGGGTCCAATCAATGTGTACAGGTGTAATACTCACATGCACTCAAAATTCCCCACTCCAAAATCCTTAAACAACAATCCCAACCAGCCCTAGTTTGTGCAAACATGAGGATTTAACCCAGAATTAAGTTTTTTTGAATCTGTTCATACAAACAAACAAAACTATTATTTTGTAAAATAATTTAATCACAAATTATTTTTTCCCATCAATGCCAATACTCCAGAATTTCGTGCAAGTGCTCAGGGACCGGTCGTTAATTACAGGGGAGGGATGGCTGGTGGAAAAGGTGGGGGGTCAGATATTTTTGTGCATGAAAAAAAGGGGGGGATTTTTGTGCAATATAAATACCAGCCCTGCATGACCCTGTTGTACCATACAACCTACAGATAAAAATAGAGAGAAGTAGAACTGTAGTAAACTGATTTCAACCAATAAACATGTACATTGGAACAGACGCGGTTGACTCAATAAATGGTAAAGAATATATAAACTACAATACATGTATATATAGAGCATAGTAAGTTGCCAACTCTCACGGATCCACCACGAGCATCACAGATTTTACTAAAACCTCATGGTGAGTTCACAGCTTACAGTAATTGTAATTAATATCTCACAGATTTCGAAAATAACCCAACTAGTTCTTAAATATGTTGGCTTTGTTGCACATTTTAACTATAATTAAATTAAGAGTGACTTCATTTGCGTCAACTTACATAAAACTTTTTTCTTCTGAAAAAATTCACGCCATTAAACCAAAAATAGATAATGAAAACATCATTTCATGCAACCTCGTACTTGTGGGTATTCAACAACATGGTTTTGTACATCTAAAGAAAAGCTACCAAAATTTGTGTGTTATAAGGTATAGAAGCTAGACTCTGAAAATGCCATTTCCAACGATCTAGAGACTCCATATTCAAAATTTTTCTGCTCGGCACCAACTATGGTGTGGCGGCACCTCGTGCCCCCCCCCCCCCAAGCAAAATCCC